AAAAAAAAAAAGCATGAATGTCCTATAATATCCTATTACAAGAAACACATGAATTAATCAACTGAAAATGTTTTCATCCCACTATATAATTAATTTTTTCATACCGTCCACTTATATAAGTTATTTTTTCATAGAATAAGTACGAATACTTTAAGCGATAATATTTAGCTACAATTAGGCAACGTATATGAGCAAGTGTGAACACATTATGCGAATACATTATGCGACAGTTAAGCGATGACGAATACACTAAGATTCGGTGGACAATTCGGTCAATCACGAGTCCTCGTTGGGCAGTCACGAACCATTTTATATTAAATAATTATTTGTGTTATGCGAATAAACCTACGACTACCAAGTGAATAATAAGCGAATAATAACCATAGAACACTCGCATAATAACTTTATTTATAAATTATTTTTAAAAGTTTTTTTTTTTATTATGCGACAAACTATGACACGATGCATAAAATTCCCATTCGCATAATTAATTTTCAAAAAATTTATAAGTTGTCTTACACAAAAATTTTGTCAGCTTGTTGCTTCAGTTTTGAATTTGCATCTATCTACACAAAAATTAAGATTTCAATGAACTCAGGCTCTCAATTGCCTATTATGGAATACAGAAAACCAAACATCATTGTTTGCAGTCAGTTCACAACTGCCACACATATCACAAGGCAGCCAAAAGTTAACCACATTTCTTGATGAGGTTTTAACAATATAAATGAAGATTTGAACATAAAATAAAATTTATACAAAGTTAATAACTTGATATACACACATATCAATCGATCGAATTTGGGATATCACAATGTCATCATAAACGGACTTTACACACACACCATCCATCCACAATCTTCACAGGGAAATTAAAAAAAATATTTAGAGCTCATATGAACAGAAAACGAACAATGAATCAACACTTTGAACTGATATGAATCATTCGACATAATAAACACTTTGCACCAATATTAATACGGCAAATTATACCATTTGACTACCAGTTTTCCTTAACGATTCTCGATTTCTCCAGAATGAACTTTCCTTCCTTGTACTTTTGCGATTCCTCATAAGCTTTTTCGTATTTCCAACCCAACACTTCACCACAGTCGCAGCAATAAACATCAGCAATTGTATGAAGACCAGTCATGAGCTGCCTATCTTCCTTACGCCCCACAGAGATATTCATGGCATGGGAGAATAAAAAAGCTCGACCATTTCTACCCTGTCATTTTAGCATATTTCCTTCATTAGCATTTTAGCTGCAGATTATTCGAATTCATATAACCTCTAGAGCCATGAGGACTTGGTACACTAGTTATTGAACTGATCAGTTGCAGAAAATATGGCGAGCAAAAACTAACCAATCTTCAAGATTACATCAGTTTTTTATTTCTTATAAGTTGTTAGGAATTAGCAAACCCGGGCAAGCACAGCGGATTAGAAGACTTTGAACCAAGAAAAAATGGCACAATAAGTGTCAAATTATAAGTTGTTAAGAATTAGCAAACCCGAGCAAGCACAGCAGATTAAAAGACTTTGAACCAAGAAAAAATGGCACGATAAGTTACAACTTTCAACACCTCATCAAAATCCCACCAACACTACAGCTAAAAACTAACAGAGAGAACATAACTAATGGGCAAAGCTGACCTGAAATGCTTTAGAGATGATATCATCATGAAGGGCAACATGATTTCTACAATTGCAGCAACTGTACAATCTTGGACCGATCATCTCAGCCATTTAACCGACTCCGAACGCAGGGCACAGATTCGAAAACAGCAACTCCTTGCTATCGATACTATGTATTCAGTAAAAGAAATACAGAATCAGCAACATTTTTTTTTTTTTTAAAAAAAATGATAGCCCCAAAGAACTCAACTGGAAACAGCAACAAAAAGACTTCACCTTTTATTCCAAGATCAAGAAATTCAATATAATGGTCCAACTATCTTTAGGGACTTACTTATCTGCCCAACAAAGTGCAATGGTCAATGGTCATTTAAAAAATGATAGCCCTAAAGAACTCAACTGGAAACAGCAACAAAAAGACTTCACCTTTATTCCATATAATGATCCAACTATCTTTAGGGAGTTACTTACTTATCTGCCCAACAAAGCACAATGAGATGGATTAGAGAAAACTACGTCTATACTGCAAATCACTTATTATAAATTGGGGAGATTCTACCGTCCCGTTATGGAACCATTCCGTCGGGATCGGTAACCGTTAGATCAACTATTCACGACGGTTACATAATGATGGTTACAAATCTTGAAGGAATGGTTAACAGGATTGTAGCATTTCCCTATAAATTGAAGGGATTTGCAATAAACGAACGCTGAGACAAAATTGAGCAGAACCCAGAAAAAATCTGGTCAAGAATATAAGAGAAATAGATAAAAGATAACATTTTGATTCATCGGAACAACAAAATAGCCGCTAAAATCATAGAAAAAAAAAGAAAAGAAAAGCAAAAGAAAATCTTAATCTTTTTGCCTGTAAATTGATGAAATTCGATTGCGATTTTGACTCACCTGATCAGGCCCTCGTGTTTATGACGGCGGCAAACAATTCGGAGACGGTGTACGGGGCGGGTGTAAGGACCTTCTCCGGTGAATTTGTGAACTGTAAGATCACGAGTTATTTATTAGTTTTTGCAGTGTTTTAGAAGTATCAAGAACACAGTGACGTATTTTACAGCTTCGCTGTACAACTCGTGACTACCTTATGTATACGGAGTAGTGTATTTAAACAAAAATGTAGTGTACCGAAAAAAAAAAAAATGTACAACTCGTGACT